TCTTTCATCCAATACTACTTGATCAGTGACACTAAAAAAAATATATAAACATGCTCTGTTCTAATACTGAAAAACAAAATACCCACATTAATATAAAACAAAATAAAACTTCCAAGCATAATCATAAAATCATTGTACAAAGCAAATTCACATAATTAAAAACACCAATGACAAATTACCAGGAAACAGAATTACATCAATCAACGTTAGCAGCAGAATATTTACAAACTATTGCATTTTAGAAATCCTCTGATGTGTTATTCATAAATTATTTTGGCAATATACAATATGCACAAAATGTGTCTCATACAAAGGATTTACATCCCATATAAAATAAAACATCATTTTATAATATATAGCTATAAAAATTGCCCCAAGAGGACTGTATGAAATTAAACTTTGTTCTTATTTTTTTTCCTGCAGGAAGTTTTTGCAAGTCACTGGATGATTAATGAAAAAATGAATCTGTTGACCATATCCAGAAAAACTGACTATTCTATTCTGCCCCATATATAAAACTGGCCAAAGTCTTAAGCGTGCTAGTTAAAATGAGTTGGAAAGCTATGTAAGCCCGAGTCCCACCATTCTTCTTCGGTGAGTTGCTCTGAACTTTCCGTATAACAGTGAGGTGTACTCAATGCATGAAGTCCTGTTTATGGAACTTAACGTGCCATATAAACTAATAAAATTGGTCATCTAGCTCTGGGAACTATTAAAAAAAAAAAAAAAAAACTTACCAGTTGCCATGCATTATGTGATTTAGTGTAAGTAGTACAGTAGTGAGAAGTGTATCACATCCTATTCTAATAAAATTAACCCCTTGGCACTGGAGCCTCCCGGCCCTTTAAGGGGTTTCAGAAGTTGGGAGGCGGGGCGGGGTTTTGGGTCATGTGACCGCCGCGATTTGCCCTCACGGCGGTCACATGATCGAGAAAGGTTCTGACTGAAAGAGGAGATCGGGACCTTTCCGTGAGTACCGGACATGTGTGCTGGGAGTGCGCAGAGCGCACGCTCTCAGCACAAATGTTTTTCTTAATTTCACGCAAATGTGCGGCCACTCGGCATCAAGGCCCAGACGCTGGGAGGCCACACATTTGCGTGCGGCCGGTGCGAAGAGGTTAAACCAAAAAGCCTAAAATTACATTATTAGCCCTCATGCACACTTGACGTTTTTACAGCTGTTGTTTTTGGCTTTTAACGTTTTTTTCTACAGCCAGTAAACCCCCCAGTATGTTATCCTATGTGTCCATGCATACATAGACTGTAATCAACGTTTTTTGGCTGGGACTTCAAAAACCCATGACAAGTGAGTTTTTTTAGCTGTAAAAACGCTCTAACGCTGAAAAACGCAGTAAAATGCCGCAAAGCTGTGTTTTTGGACATTTTTTGAGCAAAAAAAAAAAATTATTTTTGGTCCAAAAAAATTCTAAAAACACAAATGCAGAAAAAATGCTGCTAATTGCGGCAAAACGCAACTAATACTAATGCAATAACGATAAAAAAAGTTGAAAAACTCACATTATCAAAACGTCCAGTGTGCATGAGGACTTGTCCAGTTTTGTAGAAAGGTCCGATGGCTATTGGACCTCCAAACAATAAGCATTTTTCCAGTGTTTTTTGTTTTTTTTTTTTTTTTCCTTTACATCATCTCCACATTGCAATATGTACACAGACACACACACACACGCAAGCCACATATTCCAAAAGGCTCATGTTTTTTTTTTCTCCCAGTCTTTTCACAGATTTACATTTTTTGGGAATGCCTCGAACACTGTAAATATATGGGAAAATAATTCAAGAATATTCTATTACAAAGTGTTAATAGCAAACTTGAAAAAAAAAGCAATACTCAATAGAGAGCCCATTACCAATTAAGAAGTTGTCAGCTACTACATCTTTAACATTTTGTGGTTTGTGGGTGGACACTAAAATTCTTTCAACTACATTCCAACTTTTTAAAAATAAGTATCGGAAAGTAGCACAGATTTATAGTATCTAATTTGACAGCAAATACATTGTCTAGAGTTGGTAATGTCTAATAATGGTAATATTACCCTCTGGAGTGTAAAAAGTAATTCACAGAAAGGATGATTAACTATAATAATCTAATGCTTTAATCATATTTAGTTTTTGATTAACCACTGAAATGTACTATATGCCTTAAAATACTCTGTACTTATAATAAAAAAGCACAGTAACCTACAAAAACACCAATAAATTGAAATCTGGTTGCTTGTGGGTTGCTTTACTTTTTTATATCAGCATTGTGGTTTCCTGCCTTTAAAAAAAACCAAAAAAAAAAAAAAACCAAAACAGATAGTGCTAGAATAGTATTTTGAAAATATTTACAGGTTTCACATATAGTTTAGACTTTCGTATTCCTTACCAGCAACCATTTAGTTTTCTCTGCTTCACCAATATATTTAAAGTGTTACTAAACCCACAACAGTAAAATCAGTTTGTATTTGCAATAAAGCATGCTTGTTATACTCACTGTGGAACCTAAGGGGTTAATCCTCTGCATTGTGTAAAAAGGCTGTTTGATCCTGACCTCTCTGATCCTCCCCTTCTCCCAGTGTCCCCCTCTTATCTACTTATACTGTATAAGACATGCTCATTTTGATATGTGTGGAGAAGGGTTTTTCTTGGGAGAGTGTATGTGATCAGCACAGGGCCAATCAGCACTGTCCACGCAAAGGTCAGGGGTTCTGCATTCTCCAAGAGCAGAATGAAAACTCCTCTTACAAGCTTTAACCATTTCAATACCGGGCAGTTTTACACCTTCCTGCCCATTTTTCACGTTTCAGCGCTCTCACACTTTGAATCACAATTGCGCGGTCATACAACATTGTACCCAAACTAAAATTTTATCATTTTCTTCACACAACTAGAGCTTTCTTTAGGTGGTATTTAATCACCGCTGGGGTTTTTTTTGTTGCTAAATGAACAAAAAAACCCAAAAAAAAAACAACAACGTTTTTTCTTTGTTTCTGTTATAAAAGTTTACAAATAAATAATTGTTTTTCATAAATTTAGGCTGAGATGTATTCTGCTACATGTCTTTGGTGAAAATAACCCAAATTAGGATGTATTATTTAGTTTGTAGGAAAGTTATAGAGTTCACAAACTATGGGATAGATCTGAAAATTGATCAATCCTGAAGTACTGACAGCCAATCTAATTTCTTGAGGTCCAAGAATGTCAGAATAGTACAGATATCCCCCAAATGACCCCTTTTTGCAGAGTAGACAGTCCGACGTACTTCATAAGAGGAATGGCGAGTTTTTTGAAGTTGTATTTTTTTTGTCATAATTTTTCGGAAAATGAAAAAATTAAAAAAATTATTTTCACTATTTTTTTTTTTTTACATACTGTCACCAGTGCAGTACAGCGTCATCATATAACTGGCATGGCGTTGAACAGGGACACTGACTGGTGACAGTATGAAAAAAAATATATATTTTTTTTATTATTTTTAGTTTTTTATTACATTTTTTTAAAAAATTTTTTAAGATTTTTTTTTCATATTTTACTATAACCAAAGTAGTACAATGTTACCATAGTAACATTGTACTACTTTGGGAAAGTGATCAGTATTTTTTTATTTTTACACAATTTGCTTATAGCTAAGAATTACTTTGCTATAAGCAAGCATTTACCTGAATGACATTGATTCATTCAGGTTTTTTTTTTTTTTTTTTTTTTTTTGTGTGCTTAGCTGTGATTTGGCCACAGCTAATCACATGACATGTGCATGTGACCTGCTGTGACCATTCACAGCTAGGCACTAGTATACAATGGATGGCATGAATGAAGCCATCCATTGTATACAACTGTCATGTGACCTGCTGTGATTGGTCAAACGGGGGCCTGTACTCAGATCTGTTATCGGCCGTGTCCGAGGTACGCGGCCGGTGACAGATCGCGCCGCTGTATGGCTCTGCAACCGCGCGAACTGCGCATTTGCGGGAGGACGCCAAATGGCGTACACCCTGGAAAGCTAAACCATTTTTGCGGCCGCCAAACAGCTATAGGCCAGGCAGCTAATGGTTAACCAGTGCTCTGCTGGACACTGATAGAAGTCACAAGACTGCTCTAACTGTTGATGAGAAAAGGTAGTTAGCAGTTTATATTTACTAAAATAATTGCATTTCCATGTTGTGTGTACTGTGGGAGGTCAGAAAAGTGATTGCAGGGTCCTGGGTTTAGTAACACTTTAATGTTGTAACAAAAACAACAGGAGATATCTGCTTAGGTCAAGTATCACAGGATCTTGTTCTATCACTACCTTTAGCAGAGGGCATGGTGGATGTAACAGTTCATTCCAGAAATTTCAAGAAAAAAATATCTGCTTCAATGAGGGGAAAGTGCTTTTCTTCTGTATTAGGAAGTAAACCACCTCCATAAGAATAAAATCTTTTAGCACCCCAAAAGCACCTGACATCTATAGTACATACAACTTCAGAAATGAGCAATGACTGGTATTCCTTTGGTCATTTAGAAAGCATTATACAGATATGGCTACGTCTTAAGAACATAAAGGAAAGGGATGGCATACACAACTTCTGTCCAGAGGAACTCAGTTATTAATTTTGAAAGTTCTTCTCTTTACTTAACGTAAGGCTATTAGGAACATGAAGATCTTCAAGTACAATTAATTATGGCTTTCAATAGTACCTTGATATAGGCATCTATTTTTAATCATACTTCCATAATTATTGTTCCCAGTTACAAAACTCGGAGCCTGAAGACTTTTAAGTTATTGTAGATCATTTATGATACCACGTGGCAAAAAGTGGGGTGTGTCAAGACACATCATACAAATTGACTGTCCTCTTGATTTCACATCCAATCATACACTGATGTGTGCCGTGGCATTTTCAGAATATTGATAACAGGCATTCTCCAATGGTGTTCATGGAATCTAAGAATTACAAAGAGAGGTAAGTGCATTTCACATATGAAGGATGGGAATGACAAAATGGTCAGAATTGTGCCTTTCACATGCATGTTTCACTACTGGGGTGTTTCTGGATGTCATTCTCTGTGTATATAAGTTGATAGGACTTCTCACTCTCCTCTAGAACAGAGTTTCCCAGCTCAGCATCTTGTTTTTGCAACTCATGTTTAGAAAGATGTTCAACAATGCCAGCTCCTAAAGAATCTCCTAGGACATTGGTGGTTGTGCGGAGACGATCCCTAGAAGACATAATAGCAAGTGTTATGAAAGTACAGTGTACACACCAAAATTAAATTCCTGGTACCTTTTTCTAGTATGATCGATCCCACTTTTTTAAAATATGTTTTTCATCCATTAGAGTATACACCAATCAGCCAAAAGATTAGGTCCACCCAACTAATATTGCTGCCAAAACAGCCCTGACCAGTCCAGGCATGGACTCCACTAGGCCTCTGAAGGTATTGCGTTGTATCTGTTAAACCGTGATATAGATCTTAACTGTTTTCTCACTGACTATCAAAGGTCACTAGTCCCCTTCTTTAAATATTTTTTATAAACTTTTGCACATTATTTATATTTTTTAATACTGTACACTTTTCTTTTTTGTTTTTTTGTCTACATACAGCCTTTCCCTCATCACCTTCCTATCCAGTTCATCATCACTCACCATCTTCCCCTTCCGATATTTATAATATGGAATATTCCATATATATCTATTCAGATTGCCTAACGTTTGGCAATATTTAGTTTTGCATCATTATCTGTCATGTGTGGCCTTGGCTCTGGAGGGCTATGTAAAGATTTATTTCTAATTTCACATTCACCATCATGGTATTTTATACCTACTTGGCTTAGTTTAAATACTATTCATTCATTAGGAATTCTAATTGGGATTCATATTCTAATTGGGATATCTCTATACATTAAGGGATGATATATATTATTAACCCTTCAATATTGGTTTGTGTGGGGTAAGATGGACTTTTATCCATCCATCCCATTACCATTATTTTTAATTATTTGTTTGTCATTTTTAATATGTTGTTTTTTTTTAAATACTTTGCTGTTTATGCATTTATTTGTATTTTTGGATTGTCCTGTTATTGCACACAGGTGTATACCAACTTGGTGTACCGCAACAGTTTCTGCAGCCGGTATTAGTGTAGCACACTTCCTCTTAATGATATACAGTTAGGTCCATATGTATTTGGACACAGGCATTTTTAATTTTTTTGTTGAGAATCTTTTACTGGCAATGACTGCCTGAAGTCTGGAACCCATGGACATTGCCAAAGACTGGGTTTTCTCCTTTCTGATGCTTTGCCAGGCTGTAACTGCAGCTGTCTTCAGTTGTTCTTTGTGGGTCTTTCTGACTTTAGTTTTGCCTTCAGCAAGTGAAATGCATGCTCAATTGGGTTGGATGAGGTGATAGACTCGGCCATTGCAGAATATTTCACTTCTTTTCCTTCAAAAGCTCCTGGATTGCTTTTGCAGTGTGTTTTGGATCATTGTCCATGTGTACTGTGAAGCACCGTCCAATAAACTTTGCTGCATTTGGCTGAATCTGGGCTGACAGTATATCTCTAAACACTGCAGAATTCATCTGGCTGATTCTGTCTTCTTTCACATCATCAGTAAACACCAATGACCCAGTGCCACTGGAAACCATGCATGCCTATGCCATCACACTGCCTCCACCATGTTTTACAGATGACGGAATGTGCTTTGGATCATGAGCTGCTCCAAGCCTTCTCCACACTTTTTTCTTCCAGTCATTCTGGTACAGATTAATCTTAGTTTCATCCCTCCAAAAAATGCTTTTCCAGAACTGGTCTGGCTTTTTTAGATGTTTTTTGGCAAAGTCTAATCTGGCTTTTCTATTCTTCAGGCTTATGAATAGTTTGCACCTTGTGGTGAACCTTCAGTAATTGCTCTCGTGAAGTCTTCTCCTGATTGTATACTTTGACAATGATACGCCCACCTCCTGGAGAGTGTCTTTCACTTGTTTGGATGTTGTGAATGGGTTTTTCTTTACCAGAGAGAGGATCCTGCTATCATCCACCACTGTTGTCTTCCATGTCATTTTATGTTGTTGAGCTCACCAGTGCATTCTTCTTTCCTCAGAATGTACCAAACTGTTGATTTGGCCACTCCTGAATGTTGCTGCTATCTCTCTGATGGATTTGTTTAATTTTTTAAGCTTTACAATGGCCTGTTTCACTTGCATGGACATCTCCTTTGAACGCATGATGTAGGTTTACAGCAATATATTCCAAATGCAAATACCCCACTTTGAATCAACTCCAGACCTTTTACCTGCTTAACTGATGAAGAAATATTGAATGAGTAGCCTACACCTGGCCATGAAACAGCTTTTGATTCAACTGTCCAATTACTTTTGGTCCCTTGAAAAAGGGGGGGGGGGTTGGCTAATATTAAGTGCTGTAATTCCTCAATCCTTCCTCCAATTTGAATGTACATACCCTCAAATTAAACTGAGAGTGTGCACTTTCATCCTATATCCATTATATAACTATAGCTTGAATATATTTTGGTACATACCTTTTATCTGGTGCACACATGTAGTGGAAAATACATTTCTTAGAACTTTGGGATACCCCCATATGGGACTGTTATTTACTCTCTCTCGGTCTACAATTTTTTGGGACTTTAAGTTATCCCCTACCAATTTATCACCTATAAGTGTTGGGAGAGCACTTTGATATTATTTGATATATGTTGTATTGAGTAAGCGCCTATCTATTCACAACTGGGTACATTAAGTGTTTATTCACCATTTAGGGGCAGATGCTATCACTGCCTGTAAAGGGAGGTACTACTCATACTTGATTTATATATGATTTACACATATACCTGATTTTTTTTTAGACGCCACAGTGTTGGTTTGCATACGTATAGTGTTGTATCTGGTGAGAGGTTGTTTCAACACCTTTTTAACCACAAGATTGCTTCCAGTATGGTGTGCAAAAGTAAAATATTCCATGGTCTAGAAGGTCAGATGCATTGGGTGGTCCAAGGACTAAGTCTGTTTGTTCCAGGCTGCCAAAATGTTAAGTTACAGTTGCCTGATGTGACCCTGGGCTATATTACTGCTTTGGGGACACTACCCTCAAACCCAACTATCTTATGCATGAACATGGGACAAATGGGCCCTAGCATGAGTGTGGAGGGACAGAAGTTTGCCCCTGGAAAGGATCCAAAGCCTGGGTACTATAAACGAGATCTGGTTCCATCAATGATTTCCAAAGTTTCAGAATCCAACCAAAGCTTTGCATAATCTGCACTGCCTACTGAGCATTGACTGAAGGGAGTCAATGCCAGACCTAGCTAATTCTGTGCAGAAATTTTGAACCTGTAGAAACAGGTTGAGTTTTAAGGTCCAGAATGTGCCAAACTCTTCAGTTTTGAGGGCCTTCTTTTTTGGGGGAAGGAAGTACTGCAAACAGTGATGTTTTTTTATAATTCTTTTATTTATACATTTTTCTGGTAAGGTAGCCAAAAATCATACAATATATATATATATGGCAATAAATGAGCCAAGTATAACAAATAACCAAGTAAACTAGCAGCATTCTGGTGTAAACCGAAATAGGGAACAACATAATAAATCAATCAGCTACATGGTCACAGTATGGCCCCAGAGTAGCTAAGAAAACAGAGGTCTAATCACAAGCAACCAGCTGTATGGGCAATACGGGAAGGTCCTGCAGGGAGATCTCAGGTAGCAGACAGAGAAGCATTTCCGATATAGAACTCCCTTCCGATCAAGAAACCAACGAGGGAGACTATGAATACACAGGGGAGTTAGAATAGGAAGAAGAACAGGATGCAAGGAAAGGAAAAAAGGAACAAGAAAGAAAAGGGAGCGGAAGAAAAAAAAGAAAGAACAAAGGAGAGGAGGAACAAGGAAATGGAAACAGATGGGGGAAGTCCAGACAAGAAACCGGAATGCAGAAATAAGGAATATGAAATCTGGAAGAGACCACCGGAGGAAGGAGCAGCAGAATAGAATAGGTCAACTCTCCCAACCGGGGCCCACGGAGAACGAAGCAAAACAAGAGAAGACAAGACTAGACAAGATTAGACAGGACGGGGCCCCTTCACACCAGTCCAGAGGGCGCCTGGAGATAAGAGTCAGTATTGCCACAGTCTCCAGGTGTCTCGAAAAATTTCACCCCGATCATACAAAGAAACTGTGAGGTCCTCCATGTCTCACATCTCATTAACTTTAGTAAACCAAAGGGACCTCGTAGGTGAGTGCACAGACCTCCAACACAAGGGAATGCAAGCTTTGACCGCATTTAACAATTGAATCGTTAGGGAGGCCTTATACTTTTTAATAGGGCAGTTCATAAGGGGCAATAAACATGCTGCTGGGTCACAGGCCACATCAACACTTGTCAGGTCACTATTTGCCAAAAAGGTTTGATTTTAGAGCAGGCCCAAAAGTAATGCATTATCTTACCCCGATCAGCGCAGCACCTCCAACACAGGTCTGAAATCTGAGGAAAAATGCGGTGCAGGGTCGTAGGGACCCTATACCACTTGGTCAGGATCTTATAGCCTGTTTCTTGGGCCCTGGAGGCAATAGATGACTTCTGCATAAGGTGGAGAATCTTCTCCCTCTGTACAGCCGTGAAGCGGAGGCCCAGGTTAGTTTATCATGTGGGAAAGGAAGGAAGGTGTAAAGTCATCCTGTGGGCTGATCAGGGCGGAGTAGAAAATAGAAAGACAATGTCGGATAGGTTCCTTCTTGTGACAGATACTCTCCAGTGTCGTAAGATGGCAACATATCCCCGGAGATCAGGAACGTTGCTGAAGAAAATGGCGGAGTTGTAGGCTGTACTAAAAAATCCAACGGAGGATCTGCAGCTGTCAACAGAGCGGGAGGGGGGGGTGAGATTACCATCCAGATCCAAAAATATAGAAGCTCCCCGAGTCAGCCAAGCATTGAAACTGGGGGTCGTCCAGTCCCGGTAGAAATTCAGGGTCACCCAAAACGAGGAGCATGGGGGACGGCAACGAAGAAAGGGAGGAATTACGAAAAGTCTCCCTGGACACCAGCAAAGTGCCACCAAGTGTAGGATAGTCCATCAGGGCCTGAGGCAGTTTCGCAGACATCCAAGGACAGCTTTGGCAGTGCCCCGAGAGTCCTCCAGCTTCACTGCCACCCAAAGTTTCATCTCTGCACGGAAGTACCAATCCACCACCCTCATCAGGTGAACCGCTCTGTAATAGGCTCGAACATCTGGGAGACCCAGACCCAGAGGCGTTTTGGTAAGTGCAAAAGCCGACACTAAAGACAAGGCTTTCGATGGGACCAAACAAAATCTCAAAAAAGAGCATGCATCTTTAGAAAAATAGGGGTGGCAATTGAAGTGGAAGAGCCTGGAGAAGATAGAGGATTAGGGGAAGCAGAGTAATTTTGAGTGCATTACAATGCCCAAACCACGTAAGGGCAAGAGAATGCCAACATAGCAGGTCCGATCTCGTACGCTGCAAAAGCGGCTCAAAGTTAGCCAGATAGAGAGCAGCCAAGTCAGGGGTAATATGAACTCCCAAATAGCAGATGGAATCAGTGGCCCATTGGAAGGGGAACAGAGGGCGAAGATGGCTCACCACATCAGCTGGCACTGAAATATTTAGGGCTGTGGACTTAGAGATGTTAATCCGGAAACAGGACAGGGATCCAAACCCACGAAAAGCATTCAACAAGGACGGCAAAGATGTAAGCGGGTCAGTCAGAATGAAATCAAATCGTCCACGAAGGCTGCCACTTTATGAGCCCCTGAGGGCTTGATGTAGCCAGGGATACTGGACTCCTGCCTGATTGTACAAAGAAAAGGTTCTAATGAAAGCACAAAAATCAAAGAGGAGAGCGGACAACCCTGACGGCTACCATTTGAGATCTCAAAAAAATCCGACCTAGTTTTGTTGACCATAACAGCAGCAGAAGGGCAAGAATAGAGAGAAGAGATCCATGACAACATGGCCGGCCCCAGTCCAATATGTCGTAAAGTGGTTAAAATGAATTGCCAATTGACCCTAACAAAAGCCTTCTCTGCATCTGTAGACAGCAAGAGAAGGGGGCGACAGGAGGTCCTGACCGCATGGATTAGACCAGTGATCTTTTTGATGTACTTATTCATGGAGGCATTCTCGTTAAAGAGTAGATGTTCTTGGCCTCTCTTGCATGATAGCATAGCTGACCAGCAAAGAATCCTCTGCATATGGACAGAAAATAGGCTCATCCTGAAGATTTGGAGAAGCATATACCCCAAGCTGTTCATGCAGTAGTTTAAGGCCACAGGTAACTGGTCCAGTTGTTGAAGTATGGAAGAATCTGTAAGGATGGAGCCAGGGTCTTGGAATAGGGATTTGCATAATGTAAAAATGTATTTCGAAATTAGAATTTCAGAAGATGGCTATATTCATTCTGTTCTATTGTATTATTTTCTATATTTTTCTATTGTATTCTTTTATATTCTATTATTTTATTTTCTATCCTAATCTTTTATTTTCTGTTCTTTATTTTCTATTCTATTTTATTTTTCTTTTCTTTTCTATTCATTTTTTCTAATATGTTCTATTCTAGGCTCATATTCTGTTCTATTTTATTCTATTCTATCATATTCTATTCACTGTTATTCTATTGTGTTCTATCTTGTTTTTATTCTATTTTATTCTTTTATGTTCTATTCTGTTCTTTTATTTTGGACATGGAGATTGCTGACTGGAAATTTTTCAGCCAGGCTTCTGGGATGCTCAAATACCCTACAGGTATAACAATATCATTTATAAACATTTTACAAGGCTCCACAGACCTTACATATAGGGTCCCTTGACTGCATAGACTATTTTCTGGAAATAGCCCACTTATAGGACTGCTGGGAGGTGGTGTAAAGGGGTTTAGCAATGCTGCCCTTCTACACATCTTTTGTTCTCTTTGCTATTTGCTAATAAAAGTCAAATAATACATACTGATATCGGATAACCACCCACCAAGTTTTATGCCAGATTATGAGGCATTTACTGTGCCGATGTAAAATAGCAAAACTATTTGTTGATTCCTCTTTATCAATGATTTTGATGGGTTACCAGAACATTTATCAGTAAACTAAGAAAGAGTTTTATCTCTTCTGCCTGATTCTGTGATTCCTGTTTCTGGCACCAAGCTAGTTAACAATCCCATATAATGTCACCCCACTGATAAAACACTTACAGGAACCAGTCCACAGCGATAATGAGCGTTATATCCTCTGTGGGAAGTCCCACCGATGTCAACACTATAACCATAGTAACCAGGCCAGCCTGAGGGATACCCGCTGCTCCTATGCTGGCAGCAGTTGCTGTGATGCTGCGACGAGAAAAATAACAGAAGATCAGATAACTCACAGACTATAAAGACAGACAATTATTTATAATGTTTTGTAAAATGTACTCTGTCCCTTTAACAAACTTGTGATTTAAAGGGAAAATAACAGTGTATTATGAGTAGGGCCTTTTTTTGGAAATAACTTTTAAAGCAGACCTGAACCCATCTATTTAACTGTTTTGTAAAACAGTTCTATTCAAGGCATTCCATGTATTCTGTCACAAATGTTGGTGCTCCCAACCGAGCTGTCAAGCTATCAAATGGCTGGTGTCATAATTGATTAAATGTACAGTGCCATGACAACTGCAGCTATTTTGGTTGTAAATAGGAGGGTTTACTTCCACTTTAATTGAACAAGCTGAGCTAAGAAGCAGCTCAGTTACTATACAGTATGTACAGCTGCTCCAGATTCTATCTGCCCTAGTTTTAGAAAATTCCCCCCATTGTGCTTTACAAAGTTCATCTCTCCCAATCACTGTATAGCAATGATAAAAGGAAAGTTGAACACGTGTATTTAATGAGCAACTATAAAAGGTCCCATTATTACAAACTATACATATTTGTAATAGGGTCTTTGTCAACTGGAAAATTATAGAGAGCCTCAAGTGCGACCCCCGACACCCCCAGAGGGCCACATTACAGCAGTGCATTTTCGCACCTCAATGTCCAAAATGTTGATCCTGCTGCATTTTATGCAGAGTATCACAATGCACACTTAAGAGGTTGGAGTACAATAACCCACACCATTGGTGTTAGTTAATGCAATAATTAACCCCAGCACTGGTGTTAGTGGAGGCAATACCCATATGGAAGAAAAATATATTCGAAATATATTTTTAAAATATTCTTCCCATATATATATATATATATATATATATATATATATATATATATATATATATATATATATATATATATATATATATATACATATATATATATATATATATATACATACATATATATATATACACACACACACACACACACACACACACACACACACACACACACACACACATAACACTGCATGATGAAATGCATTTTTATTACAAAATATATGAAAAAATATTTTTTAAAATACATTAAAAATATACTGTAGGTCTTTAAAAATACAAATCATACAAATCTACATTTTTGGAATGCATTTACAAATATATGTAAAAATATATGTTAAAATGACTTTTTTTATATGTTAAAAACAATCAGAAGTAATAGATTTTAAAAAATATTTATTTTTTAAATATAGCCTTCAGATTTTTTTTAACATGTAAAAAAGTCATTTTAACATCTATTTTTATATATATATTTGTAAATGCAATCCAAAAATGTAGATTTGTATTTTTAAAGACATACAGTATATTTGAAATGTATTTTTAAAAATATTTTTCATATATTTTGTAATAAAAACGCATTTCAACATGCAGCATATATATATATATATATATATATATATATATATATATATATATATATATATATATATATATATATATATTTGAAACTATGTTGAATATGGCCAAAATTGTAGCATTTCAAATATATGGCAATATATTTGGGAAGAATATTTTTAAAATGTTTCAAATATATTTTTCTTCCATGTATGTAAAAACCCCCAGCATTGGTGTTAGCGGAGGCAACTTTAAACTGATGACCTGTAGGGGCTTTTAAACCGTCAACTATGGAAAATATTGGGTACTGAAGTATGTTGCGTTTCACAAGTGCAAGCAATTTTAAAGTGGTTGTAAACCCTTATACATACTCATTGAAGTGATTGGCCTTTGGTGAAACACAGAGATAAAACAAATCCTCCTACATAAGTTGTACCTGTCTATCTACAATATTCTCGTCTCTACAGCCAAAGTGCTGAATTTCTAAAGCTTGACTGAAGTTCAGGGTGTAGACAGCTGAAATTACACACTGCAGAGCTCAGCTGATTGGAGGTAAGAGACACCCCCCAGCACCACACAGCTTCAGGAACAGAGCTGAGGCTGTCAATCTGCTGGAGGTCCCTTCCCTGTCATCGTTTTTTCTTGGTGTCAGAAGTCATTCATTCTGATAGCAGAGGAACAAGGGAGCAGACAGAAATGACACTTAGTTCTCTGGATAGAGACAAGTACACACTATAAAGGGATATGCTTTGTTCATATTTCATGTCTGAGGTTTACAACAACTTTAAGGTTTGACTGTTTGCTTATCTATTTACTTGGCACAGCCACATCTTTCAAATTTTTCCAAGAAATTGGATAATTTATTGCATTTGTGTGCTCAAAAATTAACTGTAGTGTACTTATTACTGAAATTTTGAGTTTCCTAAACCATTGCACTGATATTGTGTGACATAAAAATATTGGAACTACCACTATTTTATTCTCTAGATTGTCTGCTTTCAGAAAAAAAAATGTTTTGGGGGTTTTATGTAATTTTCAGGCCTAAAATTATTTTTTAAACATGTATACAAAAATCACAAAAATGGCTCCCGCAGTGAAAGGGTTACTACTACAGCTCAAATGAGTTTTTGTGTGTTCCTCATTTTAAGATTGAGAAAGAACACCAGGAAGAAAGGCATAAATCACTTTAGAAAACCACAATCTGTATTTGAAGTTTTGAGACACAGCTTAGAACTGTTCAAACACTGAACATTTTACAAAAAATATAGCTACAGTAATATGAGCATATAATATGAACATTACACCATAATTACCTGATTGTGATTATTTGCCCAAAGTTCAGTTCGTAATTGTTTACTTGTGCAATAAATATAGCAGCTAGTGCCTCATACAGGGCTGTACCATCCATATTAATGGTGGCTCCCACTGGCAGCACAAATCGAGTGACACGCTTGTCCACACCGTTGTTCTCCTCCAAACATCTGAAAGTGATGGGCAGAGTGGCAGAGCTAATGTAAGAAAAAAAAAAAAAAATTTCTCTCAATCATTTTAGTGACCGCTGTCTTAGGTCCCTTGCACTATAGTGTGCCTAGGAAGGACAGGTGCAGCATTCAGCTCGGCTGCCAAAACCTATGGCAGGCTACAGGTGGACAGAGCTGACCACTGTGGGCCCTATGGGTTCCTTAATGTCAAGTTGCACCCTGCCATAGACTTTGACACAGCTGCAGGTAGCAGGACTGGATGCTGCACTTGTCCCTTTGGGGCACATTAAGCTCTTCAATACAGGGCACTTTTACCCCCTTCCTGCCCAGGCCAAATTTCAGGTTTCAGCACTCTAACACTTTGAATGACAATTGCACGGTCATACAACATTGTACCCAAACTAAATTTTTATCATTTTCTTCATACAACTAGAGCTTTCTTTTGGTGGTATTTAATCACCACCGGGGTTTTTATTTGTTGCTGAATTAACAAAAAAAAAATACCCGAAAATTTTGAAAAAAAAAAACAAACACGTTTTTCTTTGTTTCTGTTATAAACGTTTGCAAATACATAATGGTTCTTCATAAATTTAGGCCAAGATGTATTCTGCTACATGTCTTTGGTGAAAATAACTCAGATTAGGATGTATTTTTTAGTCTGTAGGAAAGTTATAGAGTTCACAAACTATGGGATATATCTGAAAATTGATTAATCCTGAAGTACTGACGGCCAATCTAAATTTTGAGGTCCAAGAATGTCAGAACAGTACAGATATCCTCCAAATGACCCCTTTTTGCAGAGTAGACAGTCCGACGTACTTCATAAAAGGCATGGTGAGTTTTTTTAAGTTGTATTTTTTTGTCATAATTTTTTGGAAAATTAAAAAAAAAAAAAATATTTTCCCTATTTTTTTTTTTTACTTACTGTCACCAGTGCAGTAAAGCGTCATCTTTTAACTGGCATGGCAGTGATCAGGGACACTGACTGGTGACAGAATGAAAAAAAAAAATTTTCTTTTTCATTACATTTTTTTTCTTTATTTTAAGATTTTATTTCATATTTCACTATGACCAAAATAGTACAATGTTACCATAGTAACATTGTACTACTTTGGGGAAGTGATCAGTATTTTTTAAATTTTTTTTTTTTACACAATTTGCTTATAGCAAAGAATTACTTTGCTATAAGCAAGCATTTACCTGAATGACATCGATTTATTCAGGGTTTTTTTTTTTTTTTGTGTGCTTAGCTGTGATTTGGCCACGGCTAATCACATGACACAGCTGGGCTGTGATTGGCCCAGCTTGTGCATGTGATCACTGTGACCATTCACAGCTAGGCACACTAGTATACAATGGAAGGCATGAATGAAACCATCCATTGTATACAACTGTCATGTGACCTGCTGTGATTGGTCACAGCAGGTCACATGGTACCGGCAACGGGGCCGGTACTCACATCTGTCATCGGCCGTGTCCGAGGTACACGGCCGGTGACAGATCGCGCAGGTGTGCAAACTGCGAATGCCCGAAAGGACGCCATATGGCGTCCACCCGAAAAGGTGAGGGATTTTGCCGACCGTCATTCAGCCATAGGCCGGGCGGGAAGAGGCTAAAGCACTGGAAGGGACACATAACATACTCAATATTTTATACTGCTACAAAAAGTGCTAAAGGCAGTTGATCAGCCAGGCAACCTGCATTTTCAGAAGGCCAGTAAGCTAGCTGACATATTCATTTCATGTCAACAGGTTTACCCTAAAGTGAACTTGTTTTGACCTAAAACAATTCTAAGATAACAACAGTGCTGAAGGTCTGGCACCTTATGATGCCTGCAAATATCTTTGTTAGCCTTCAAATCAATCACTGTCAAGCCCCCTCTTGGATGCTAGGCCCAAGCTGTACATGCAACATTGGCTTTTGTCCAAGCCCTCCCCCCTAAAAATCAATATTCACATGGCAGAGCCTCTACTGCCAATTGAAGTTCTGGCATTCGGCAAAGGCTGGGACTTTTAAATTTCAGAGGGTTTAGAAGTTGAGGTCTCGTGTACAGCCTTGGCCTAGGATCCAAAGATATTTGTTTATTTTTAATTCTTTATTTTTCACCACAAAAAAAATACATACCACAAGAACACTACAGCAGGTGCATCTGAACACAGATATTACAGAAAGGTGAATGTCCACAGTTTGTACAGTACAATTGACAAAGCCAGGACAGCAGGTTTCTATAACTGTCATGCAATATCCCTCAGCATAGTTATTTTATCCATAACCTTTAACTTATATATATGAACCTTGTAAGTCAACCCAGTTTAAAATAGACAAAAGACACACATACATATACACATACACACACACACACTGGCACGCGGCGATCGCCGAGTGTTACTGACGGAAGAGAGAGGTCTGTATGGAAACAATACAGATTTCTCCCGTCAGCTCCTGCACACTGCTTTGTATTGCTCTATACAGCAATACAAAGCAATGTGCTTACACAGTAGAACACACATACACAATAGTAAAACAGCACACAGCATACAATTAACACTTTGATCGGCCAGATGTTAACCCCTTCCTGCCCAGTGTTATTAGTACAGTGTCAGTGCTTTTATTAGCACTGATCACTGTATTAGTGTCACTGGGGATGTCAGTGACAGTTAGTCAGTCCCCCCCCCCCCCCCGTGTCAGAATGCCCGCCACAGCCACAGTCTGGCTATAAGTTGCTGATCGCCGCCATTACTAGTATAAAAAAAAAAAAATTCCAGTATTTCCTTCACTGTGTGTGTGTGTGTATATATATATATATATATATATATATATATTATTTCATAAATGGTCACATAATCTCTGATCTCAGATGCACAGGGGCTTAGAGGGCTAGGAGTGGAGAAACAACAGTACATTGATCTTCCAAATTAAGAGCTGTACTCGGGTGTGTGTCAGCACACAAGTCTGATTATTGGAGGACAGGCAGGCAGTGCTCACAGCACAGCCAGAAAACTGACCATGCTGGGAAGGATGTGCTTGCTTGCTTAGTGTGGTTAGTTTGAAATAAGAAATAAGGGGGACTGGCAGGAACACCAGGGATTTCATACAAAGGAAGCAATGCAAATAGAACAGGATACTTTTTAACACAACAGACACATATCAAAAATATGAAATGTTGGGGTAGCATACTCTAGCAGTTGGCTATTCCGTGCATGTCTTACTGCTGAACTATGCGGCATCTCACCTGTATGGTCATAAACAATTTCTAATGCTGTGGAAAGAGTGGTCTTTGAGGGTATTCCCTAACATCTGCAAAATGAACAGGGTGACCATGACCATGGGACCAAGTAACAAACAAGATATACCTGTGCTCAAATCCCAACAGCTAGTGCATGCATTTATCCATCAGGTGCTAAAGGGGTGTAACTACATATTAACACTAGAAATTCTGAAGAACCCTCTGCACACTGGTATATACCCGTTCAAGCAGACTATGCAATAAATAGGGATTTGAGCACAGGTATATCTTGTTTGTTGTATTGTTGGGTCAGTAGCCACACCTGAACCTGGTATCTCTCCCCCACTTTGTCTTTTCCCCTATGTTGGTATTGTGTCCACAGTAGCATTTGCGTAGGCAGAGCAGAGTTGGACTGGCCTTAGAGGGATTACTTTGATGCAGTTGGCCATCTTAAACATGTATTGCAATATGTGTGAACTAAATATCCCTATTTCATGGGACCAAGTAAGACACAAAAACGTGGATGGGGCAGGAAGAAAGGAGGGGATAAGTTAGGGAAGATGTGGGCTAGGAGGATGCAGTGGTACCCATGTTGCATTTGTGAGAGATGGACAATTCCAGTAGCTGGTCACTTAGTTCTCGGACTCTATATTCTTGAGTGTAAGTAAAATCACGCCACTAAAACATGGAGTTGTAAAAAACTGTTCTTCTTTGTGTTTTAGTGATGCTGTTATATCATCCATTGTCTTAAGTTGTTGTTTGCACACCCCGGAGAGATTTGCTAAAACTGGAGAGTGCAAAATCTGGCGTAGCTGTGCATGGTAGTCAATCAGCTTTTAACTCCAGCTTGCTCAGTTAAGCTTTTGAAAAGAAAACCTGGAAGCTGATTGGTTTCTGTGCAGAGCTGCACCAGATGTTGCATGCTCCAGTTTTAGTAAATCCCCCCCCCCTCATGTTTTCATGCAGGGAGGGTTTATTTCCAGAACAGTTTGGTACATTTAGGGTGCATTCCTGCTGCTGTTCCGAGGTTTGGCAACTGTGTAGGTGCAGCACAGTGTACCTGTGGTTTTTGAACAGGTTACCCGTGTTTTCCCTTAGACTTCTATTTAATCGGGATAATTGGTGCGTTTTCTGAAAGTCCTGCATGCTGCATCTTTGGTGGACTTTCAGAAAATGCACCAGACACCTATTCAGATAGAAGTCTATAAATAGAAGAAAAACTTGCGGTGCAGCCAAACCACAGTGTGGCAGTGTGAAAGTACACCACTCTGCTGGATCCAGCTCCTTGGATTAATCCTCAGATTGCAACAATAACATCAGATGATCTGGATGATAATTGTAGTCACTGCACTGCAAATGCTCACCTAGGTGAATGCAATGCTTTTTTAATTTTTTTTTGTGATCACAAACCTGTCACCACCAAGGGCGGACTGACCATTTGGAAACTCGGGCACCGCCCGAGGGCCCGGGTCAGTAGGGGGCCCCATGAGATGCCCCTGGTACCTTTTCATAGGCTTTTTTGAGTTTGGGCAAGAACACAGGGGCCCCATGATCCCCTATTGCCCGGGTGCCCCATGAGTTGTCAGTCCGCCCCTGTTCGCCACCATGCTAAATTGTGCCCTTCTCAACTTATATTATTGTTACATTAAGAATTTACACAAACATTTTTTTTTACTGCATGCGCTGCAATGTAGAGTTGAAAGGAGAATTATACTCTCCTAGAGAAAAAATGCATGTGTTCACTTTGAGCTTTAGCATTCCACTGTGTACAAAAGTCACACTAATGTGATATTTTAATCAGCAGGATTTATTGATTATATTTTGTGGCAAATATATTAAACTACAGGAATTACAGGAAAATGCATTTTACCTAGTTATTACTATTTATTCCCAATGAAAAACCTAGGAAATATAATATAGCTATCTAAATTTGCTGCCATATCAAAGCATTAGGTTTTTGGCAAATAATGTATAATATGTTACGGTAGACTACAAATGCTAAAAAAATATATTCAGGGGGACCAAGACATCACCAAAACTAAAAAAAAGTTCTGGGTCTGAGGGGCGGTTAAAGTGACTGTAATCCCATACTTTTTTCTTTTAAAATAACAAACATGTTATACTTACCTGCTCTGTGCAATGGTTTTGCACAGAGCAACACCGGTCCTCACCTTCTTGGGTCCACTGCTCCGTGTCCTCTTCCCTCCTCTCACTCCCGAGCCCCACTCTGTGTGTCTATTGAGACACAAAGCATAGCTTGGCCCCAACCTCCATTCTCTCCTTACTGGCTGTGACTGACAGCAGCAGGAGCCAATAAGGAGAGAGATTGGAGAGAGACACTGCTCTTGGGCACAGTGCTGGATTGAGATTGGGCTTGGGTAAGTATATTGGGTGGTTGGGGGAATAGAGAGGAGCTGCACACAGAAGATTTTTTATTACCTTAATGCAGAGAATGCATTAAGGCAAAAAAAAAACTTTCTATATTTAAAAATGTCTACCTTTAAAAGTAAAGAAGCCTGGGCACGGACGTGGTTAAGTTAGATCCAAGGATATTTTACAGGTATACAGGGATCAGTCTGAAATCTATTACAGGTACTTTAAGGCACAACAGGTTGCCTGCATTTTTCATTTTTGCCTGCATAGAAACATTTTAGATCAAGTTCATTCAAAAAGGAGAACAGTAGGAAAATTTAAATATCTCCATATTTACAGACATCACATTACCAAATTATACCAACACAAAAAGTTTTTACCCCCTTCTCAAGTTTTTCTACGTATCTTTGTCAATGGTTCTGCACTCCCAAGTCCGCATTCTGTATATATAGGAGCCAGCTGCGCATATGTCATTTAGCTTGCATAAAGGGTTGCAGAATATAACAATTATACAGGTTTCTATTTAATTAAAAAAATGCAAATACATAGAGAAACAATTTTGGGGAAACAAATCATTTTGACAATGAAGATTATCAATATACTTATTATCAAGTAGCCCTGTGTTCTGTTTGCTGTGAGCCTATACGAAATGTGCTGTTTACATATATATAGATATACACAGTTTTGTCACTGGATATTGGTGTGCAGTACATAAGTATTATTTTTGGTTGCCAAAGTACTAGCTGCATTCATATAAATAGAATTTATAAATACAATATGCTTTTTTTTTATAGGCAATAAGGACATTTCTAATTGACATCTGCTTTTATTATATAACATTTCCCTGCTGTTTCTTACCTCGATGATGTCCCCAGGGCAGTAACGAGAGCTTGAAGAAGGCCACCAATAAATGGCCATGGGTTCCTTCGAGTAACAATAAAGAACAACAATGGGAGTACAACCAAAGCATGTATGAGGAGTCCTATGATAACAGTTATGGTATACATGCCTAGCTGTCCTCCCATAACCAGTAAATCATCCATTTCCAGAATCTTTCCTGATATCAAGAACATGATACCAATTGGAGCATACCTAGAAAAATATGTAGGCTACAGTTAATGCCATGAGAAAAAAAAAAAAAAAAAAAGAGGACAGCAAAGCTGCAATATATATATATAGTGTAAATAATAATATTGTAATGTTTTTAGCAGTTTTCTATACTTATTATTGTCAGTATTGAGTCATCTTATTCTTACCATATGATAATTGCCACCAGCCTCATGATGGCCTCATTAAGGCAATCAAAGAACTCCCTGAGAGCCCTTCCTTTTTCTTTCATGTTTCCAACTACAAGTCCAAAGCACATGGAGAAGACCACCAAACCCAAGGCATTTACTCCATTTGATGAGCCTGCCACAGGCACTACCTCTTCCAAGTCTATCATCTGCTGTAGTTGTCCCATGGCACGAGTCACATTGTCTAAAATGCCACTGATGTTAAAAGCTTCTAGGGTCTGCTCCGTCACTGCTGTCATGTTCGCATCAGATGGGACAGGCACTTTGTAAACCTTTGTGTTGTACTGTGTTTTGTACTAAAACAAGAAACAAATACAATTTTAAAATCAATAAAGAATAATTGTACGTAGTATTGGTTTATAACCGTTTGCTCTCATTTTGAATTATTAAATAGTTAAGGGACTGCACCATAATTTAACAGTTCATTTTTGCTTGTAACAACAAAATGGGGCCTTCCCCCTCATGCATTCACTTTCTTGGACTACCAAAATCAAAAGGGGCAATCTCAAAATTTACCTGCAGTAGTTGGCACTTTATGTAGGCCAATACACAGTCACATGGCGTCGTATAAGTATTCTCCACTTGGATTTTTCCCATTTTGTATTGTTACAGCCCAGAAATAAAATGGATTTCTTTGGAATTTTCATGTGACAGATTTCTACATAATAGTATAGTGTTGAAGTAGACTAAATGTAAGCCTGGGTTCACACTGACGCGGTGCGATGCGCAGAATCAGATCGCTTGGGTGTGAATACCCATGCGATCCCATTCTAGTACTGATGCAGATGCGATGCGATTTGAGACATACAAAATGTATGGCTCAAATTGCACTGCACAAAATTTGCATGTGATTTGCACAGGAATGCGGTTAGGTTTCTGTGTGAATCACATGCGATGTTCCGCACAGCAGATGTGTGAACCCAGGCTAAAGGTTCTAAATAAGCTCTGGAGCAGATATTTTTTTAACAAAACTCCAAGGAAGGAAAATACTTACTGTATGTAATCCATTTTATTAGACTGTTTTGTAATCCCTGTGAATTTTAAGATGTTCTGCATGAATGCATACGTTTTGATCTTCAACTAAATCCTCATCAATTTAACAAAACACATTTTTTTCTACTGGCAATTTTTAAATACTTAAGGAAACTGAAAGCAGATATTCCATTCAAGGGATCAGGTGTTCCGGTCAGTTCAGGTGTGTTTTTGACCTAGATTCCAAGATATTGGTTACAGCAAAATTTTGTTGTAGTGTAATATGACTAGCTTATATAATGGAAAATTAGAGCAATATCTTTAAAGTAACACTCTTGTGGAAAATAAATGTAAAAAAAACTCTGTTACACGTAAAGAAGAGAGTGTATACTCACCTTTGCCATTGCTCACACCACCAAATGCAGTTTTCTTTGACAGAAATTGTCCCTCAGACATCTTTGGGAAACCAATATTTTCAGGAGTATTCATTTCCTGGTTCCACCATGGATCTCACTGGTTCCTCTTGTTGACCTCCATGTCACTACTGCATCCTGTAGTAATATGGAGGTCAGCAAGAGGAACCAGTAAGCAATTTGGGAGATTTAGAAGATCAGCATGCCTGAAAGTGTCAGTTTGTCAGTGGATTTCGGAGAGTCGTTTCTCCTGATTAGAGTGGTGTTCAGCTGGGTGGCCACCAGGAAGGTGAACATACATGCTTTTCTTTTACAGGTAACAGAAGTTTTATTTTTTATTTGTGGGACAGGGTAGCTTAAAAACTTGTGCTTTCACTGGTCCATATTGAGTAAACCCACAACAGTTGAGTAAACCCACAACAGTGTGTTCGTAATCAAGTAACCAAATTTGTGAAAGAGTACCTTTATGTTCCACAGTGGTAGCAGGCTAATGTTTTGGTAAATGTACACTTCTTGGAAAGCAGTGTCTAGTAGTGTGCAGCTGTTTATCGAAGAGCCTGGATGCCCTTCAATCCTAAAGGCAACAATACATGCCAAGTAGGGATGAGCCTGGGCATGCTTGGATTCTACTCTGGACCTGTCTAAGCAAGTTCACCACAAAGCATTCACTATACTGGGAAATTCATAAGGGACTGAGGCGTTCCCTGCCCCTTGTATACGTGTGGCAGTTGGGTGGGAAATGCCTCAGCCTCAGATGACTGGCCTAGTACAGGTGACAGTTTCCTGCTGGGATTGCTCAGGTGGGATTGCATTAGAATCTGAACGTGACCAAGCTCATCACTAATGTATCAACATTCTACAGCAGAATGCCAGAGATCTTGTTTGAATTTCTAAGCTCAGAAGAGGTTTGGTCATGCACCCTAGTTAATTAACTTCTGTCAACTTTGACCTCTTCTTTGAGCAAGCCATATTGAACTAAAACACAATTTTGTTGGGGCTAGCGGTAGACATTAAGAGACCTGGTATTGCTAGAACTGTCTGACTACCTGTAAAGTGTATCTCTATCCAAAACTAAACAACAACAAAACTTTTGGCTTTAGTAGCGAATGGTTACAACCCTTGCTGTCTGTGTCCAGTCAGGGAGATTTACCTTCACTTTTTGTCCTAAAGAACTAGAAGAAAGTAAGAGCTTCAATGCAAAAGTATATCTCTGATTAGACAGCTGTCATTGGAACAGGTTTCATTATTGAAAGATATCACCGACCTCACGCCATCATTTTCTGTACTGGAGAAAACGGTCAGCAGGAGCTATCGTGAGGACGATTTTTCAGCAGCACAGATACAGACTTATTGCTAGACGGACCGGAGAGAGGTTTGAATCCTTCCACACTCAATCCAAAATTTACATTTTGCATACACTTGAAATGGCTCTCTTTACTAGACAATCACTATCCAACAATACAATGTGATATCTGCTGCCGTATGATAGAAATCACTCACTCATATCCTTTCAATGCAGCCACAGACCCCAACCCTGTCCACTTGCACAATGACATCCAGCATCTATATTGTGGTCCGTACATAACAAATCCAATATCTAAAAGATTTCAGACGCTGGATTCAACTTCTAAAAGTAATTTAGTAGTCACATACTTTTTATGTATATATATTTTTTATGATGGCTAAAATTATTTGTTCAAAAGAGTAATAATTTCCTATGATCATCAGCTCCATCTAATGGCCATAATGCTGTATTTTTCTGATCCACACTATCCTATTGAATGAAGAACATTTAACCTGAAGAGAAAATAAGCTAGTAACCTTTGATTTTGACGGCATTTGTACAAAGCTAATGTATATGCAGTTTTGAAGGCCAAATAATGCAGGAAATCTTTATAAATAAAGATTAGATTTGTCCAGTCTGCAGAAAATCATAAAATACATTGATTACATTTGCCTACATTCTTAAATTGCCTGATTTGCCACACATCAGATACATCTACAAAAAATAAATCATCAATTGGCAATACTCTTGATTTGATCGCTGCAACTCACAATCTTTTTCAAACAACTATATTTAAACATTTTGGTAGACTAGGTTCCTTCAATGTTAGGGAGGAACTAATACCTCCTATCTTTTACAGCCAAGGAGCTGCCATCTTAGACTGTTTGATCTGTAACTGCCATGGTGCTGCACATGTGATCAGTTCTGACAGCAGCCATTTGATGGCTTGACAGTTAGGTTGATAGCACAAGCAACTGTGACAGTTATTATTTAGGGCATGCCTTGAACGCAAATGTTTTGAGAAACAGTTAAATCAATGGGTTTAGTTAAACTTCAAATAAAGTGCAACTGGTGTCTTGTTATGGCCTACTGAGGGTAGAGGATGTTCATAAAGAAGTCTGAATCAACAGTCCATATTAAATATGGAAACACTTACAAATATTTATACAGAAATCAATATCTCCATATTAATTTTGCATAATACATTAAAACCCTGCATAGTAATATTTCAACATAAAAGATGGTATATTTAAAAAGACCCGTTGCAGGAATAAATGCAAATATCTCTACATTTTGAGAATACATAAAGTGAAAGCTTAATATCTGAGCTGAAGGCACATACTTCCACTTTTCTAAATGGCTGTAACTGGGTTTCCTGCAAAATAATGGCACCTAATGTAAAATGCATGAATACTATGTACGTTCGATGTAGAATAGGCAGAACATTTGTCTATGATGTTTAAAGAACATAGGACATACAGACTGGTTTCTGCCTCTTAGATAACCTCCCTGCTTTGTGTCCTTTGAGGATAGATGAAAGCTCATCAGAGAAGGCTGGAGGATACGGATGTCCTGGGATCACCATATGGTTTGAGGTACAGTATCCTGAAGAGACCAGAAGCATTAGAACCTTCTTCTGAATATGTTTGAACGGAACACATTCAGCAGAATATTATAAAGTAGAACACAAGTTAAGAAACAGAAAAAAAAAAAACAATGTTACTGGTTATAAGATATGTTTTGTTCAAATATTTCAAATGAATCTGTCATGCAATGTTAAACACAATCTGCTTCTGCTCCTTGTAGGCTAAGAAAAGTAATATCTACCTGACATCATACAGATATTTCACAAAAATCCTTCCCTGAATCCCTGTGAATAAAATGTTATGGCAAAAGCTATTACACTAAACTGCTTGTGACAGTTCACAGACATATTAGAGCCTGTCAAGAGCACACTCAATATGCTACTTATAGAAAATGATAAATAAATAATGTCCGATTTACAACTGACACTTACTATAAAACATATTTAATTACATTGTGGAAAAAAGTTTTGAATTCTCTGAATTTCTGTAGGGCTACCAAAGTGCGATCTGGCCATCATCAAAATTATTTCAATAAAGACACATTTAGTAAACAATGCATGCAAGAGTTTACACCGTCATAGCTTTACTGAACATATAGGGGCTGATTTACTAAAGCTGGAGAGAACAAAATATGGTGCAGCTTAAAATTTGTCACAGCTTAATTGAGCAAGCTGAAGTTAGAAGCTAATTGGCTACCATGCACAGCTGAACCAGATTTTGCATGCTCCAGGTTTTAGTAAATCAACCCCGTTGCTTAATTTCCTGGTCACATTGATCTGGCTTTGAAATCGTGCAACTTCCAGTGAAGTTGCACGATTTCAAAGTCAGATGTCATTCCGACTTCAGGTGCGACTTGCGAGACACAGATGTCTATGCAAGTTGCACCTGAAGTAGTGCATGCATTAGGCTACGTTCACACTAGCGTTGTGTGCAGGCGGCAGAGAGGCGTTTGGGAAGCGTTTTTACTGCTTCCCAAACACCTCTGCCAATTCTGCACATTACAGCACATGGTGCTGTTCTAACAGGAGCATTTGCGTCGC